AACTTACTAAGTCCTATTTATTAATAACTAGTGAAACAGTTTAAAAATACTTTTTTAACATAACAAAAAATTAAATTATCTTGTCAAAAATAATATAATAGCTTACGTTGGCTAAGCTAATCAGTAATCACAGTATTTTTTCTAATCATTTGGTATTCATTGTCATTTAATAAAAGTAAAAAAAGGATTTTACTTGTTACAACATGGAGAGCTATCATGGCATTTAGAATTACAAAGTAATCCTGATGACTTGCAAGCGCACTTCTTCGTTAGGCATTTTTTTAAGCAGTTGCACTTCTTGAAACCTTGTCCTCCGGTCAAAGACAATTTTGCGACAACTTCTCGAAGACTCACTTTTTTACCTTTAACAACTTCTATCTTGATAAAGTCTTCAGGGCATGAAGTAAATTGACTTTGTGTATAAAGCTGCTTTAGTACTCCAATTTTGGTATCTAGTTGGTAAAACTCGTTGTCCTTTACATCTACTACAACTGCAATAACGCTTTTCGGGTAGGTTTTAGCTTTGTCAATTTCAGGCACTTTCAGTCTTACATTTTGGCCAATTTTTACATTTGGATATTTATCAACAGACGTGGCTTTCATTTTTTCAGCTTGTTTTTCCAAATTCAAGTTTGCGTTGTTTCTTATAGTCACTACAGATTCTATCTTTTTTGGTATTGGCTCTATAGTTATAAGAACTTCCTGAGACTCAATCATGTTTTCTGTCTCTGAATCGGTATCTCTCTGAATCGTTACATTGGAATCATCGGTTATTTGCTTCGCCTTCATTTTCTCAGTAATAATCATTTCATCTTCTTGTGTTTTATTGTTGAGAGTGCTATTGTCTATATCCCTTTCTAACTCATTTTCAACAATGCTTTCTTCCTTGTCCTGTTCGATTGCATTTTCGATGTCATTATTTTGTTCCATATTGTCATGCGAATGCAACAACTTCTCTAAATCTTCTTCAGATCTTATAACTCTAATCATATCACTAGGGATTGCTGAAGTTGCAAGGCCCATTTTCATTGGACAACCAAACATTGCTTTGTAGGGGGAACATTTGATTCCCTCGTGATATGCTCTATTTTTCATTGCCTGGATGAATCTTAAACCCTCTGACCACTTTGATAACTGATTGGTTTCCATCCACGTGCTCAACATATTTTCTACGTCTTGATTAGCACGCTCCACTGATCCTTGACTTTGGCTATGTCTTGCCTTTCCATGTACGATTTTTACATCCGGCCACATGGAGCATAAACTCTCAATAACTTGGTTAGAGAATTCTCGACCATTATCGGAATGAAGGATGCTCGGCGCTCCAAAAGTGGTGAAAATATCCAAAAGATGGTATGCAACTTCTACGGCGCGTTTAGTTTGAAGCGCACGAAGGATCACAAATTTGGTAAGATGGTCTTGGTAAACTAAAATAAATTTATAATTTCCATCTGGGGTAGTTTGTAGATCTATTAGATCAACCTGACAGCGTGAGTTCATTTCACTGTGAAGTATAGGTCTGACAACAATGCCCTTTTTCAAAGTCTTCTGTTTCTTTTGGCAAGGTTGACATAGCTTCAAATATGTCATAGTAGCCTCAACTGTTACATTTTTATCCTTGCGGTTACATTCCTTAAGCATCCGTGTCCTTCCACTGTGGCCAATAGCAACATGCGTTTCTTTGAGAATATTGAATAAGTCTTCGTGACAAATGTAATACCTTATTTCTCCATCCTCTTCTTTCATAGGTGCAATTAGTTTTTCTTCGCCGCCTATAGTCAAAATGTCGTAACGCTTTATATGCCTGTATTGAACAGCTTGTTTCCTTTTTCATGTTCTATGAAGTTTTTACTTCCTCCAAACACTTTGCGTATTTGTCCCTATTAAGATAAAAGTTATTATCTTTCTTGCTTGCAACGAGCTCGTCCATTATTTCATAAAATCTCCGTTTCATACTCATCTTGATTCATAAATAACTTTTAGACAACGAAATCTCAAACAAGATTAGAATTAACCTGCGTGTTCTAACGTGTCAAACGATGGAATGAGGCGAGCGAAGGCGACGACATGGAGCGGTGCGGAAAGCGTGGACTTTTTTCAACATTTACCATGTCTCTGAGGTAAAACCTAAGATATACCGAGTAAATGCTGGTAAAAGTTCGAAATTAGCAATGATCGCAGAACATTACGGACTTTACCACAAAGATTTGGTAAATCTTAGGTTTTACTGGAAGATCTTAGGATTTACCATAGTTTGAGCATTTACAGTAACATATATATATTCAACTATATTTAAATAATTAAAATTTTTATTTTAATTTATTATAATTAAAATTTTTATTTTTTTAGACCATATTTCACAGCTACAGTATTTGGCAAATTGTTACAAAATGATCCATATGGTCGCATTTCCATTATGCATTTTTTCAATTATGTTATGAGGAAAGTATGGCTTCATCAGACACGTATTGGGCTTTCCCTTTATGATGTTGCTGGACAAGGCTATTTAGAAGAACCTGTAAGAATGTTTAATATTTATGCTAAATTTAAAATATTTAATTAATCATGTTTAATACTATATTTATTATTAATTAAAACTGTAAGAATGAATTCTCATATTTAATGAAATGAGAAAAGTATTTCCAATATAATTTTTAATCAAAATGACTTTTTCCTCCTATTATTTCAATAGGATTATTGGGAGTATTTTAGTATTATACCTTAGGATGTTAATAGATTCCATCAACATATCTGTGCTTTTGATAGATGTACTTGTGAATTCTATCAGTTTTACAACTTTAATAGTCATATTTGTTAAGATTCTACCACAATAAATGTAAATATAGTCAAATCTCAGTACAGCAATTATCAATACAACAAAAAATTTCTCCATAATGATAAATATAGTTCTCTATGCAATTCATATTAGCTTAACATAAAACTTCTCCTAGTTGAATGATATCCTTAATGTGATAAATCTCTTTAATGATACATTTTTGTTACTATGTTCTTTAACATATACAGTATTTTCCTTTCTTTACAACAATAATAATGCAGTACATTAAATGTTAATTGATATTAATTTATTGCTTGTTTATGGGATCAAAATGTAGTACTTTCTTAATGCAGTAATTCTACCACAAACATTACCTACAATCAATCAGCATCAATACAGATGAATGCAGAGTTGACAGATTTAGTGTGATTTTAGTATCTTAGTCCCTAAATTTTTTGTTTAATGCTTAAAATTAATTATCCAATCTTTTTATAACATTTAACCCTATAATATTGAAGGAAATTTCTTTTTAACTTTTTCTAGAACAGTTCAGCACTTTTTGTGTTTAAATTTATTATTTCTAGTTTTTTCAAGAAATTATAAATTATAGTAAATGTGTATGTTAGTCAAAACCTGAAATCTGCCAGAACCTGAACTTACTAGGTAAAAGTAATTGTGCTAAAAGTAAAGCTTCTCTTACTTTTAGAATTAGTGTGATTTGTAGCAATAAGACAGCCCTATACAATTTCTGAGAAACTTTATTATGTTAAACTTATTTAACATATAAATTTTTCTTAGAAAGTGTCCATGGAGATCTTAATGTTTTAAATTACACTTATTAAAATAATTATAAAAAGCATTCTCCTTAAGAAATTATATTTTAGAATTAGTCTAGTTTTTACTTTTTTATCTCTATGTAATACATCTCTGTAATCCAACAAATGGTAGACAGACTCACAGCAAATTTGCTGTGAGTCCGTCTACCATTTGTTGGATTACAGAGATGTATTACATAGAGATCTAATATACAGCAATCCAGTTATATCAGTGTTTCTCAACGGGGGCGATATCGCCCCCGTTGGCGATATCACCCCGTGGGCGTTTTTCCATGTTGAGGGGGCGATTAGTAACAATATATTTTGGGGGCGAAAACAATTTCCTGGGCGATATAGTAAAACATTATATTAAGAATAATTAGATATTTTATTTGTTATATCGTACAATAATTAAACAAATAACATTATACTAGTCACTAGTCTATTCAATGCAGTACGAATGTGGCGTTAGCCTTGGCCCTGGGCATCGAATTTTGAAGTGAAGGGGGCAATACTACATAACGGTTTTATTGAAGGGGGCAATACTACGTTGAAGGGGGCGACGATTTGTTAGAGGTTGAGAAACACTGAGTTATATAGTAATTTTACTTTTTTAGTTTTAGTTTACTTAGTTAATTTTTGCCTGTGAAGATTTAGGTTCTGATGGATTTTGACGTTTAATTAATTAATATATACTGTATGAATAATAATAAACTAATACTGTAGAAGTAATATGCAGTAAATATTATTAAAATATATATAATAAATCACTGTACAAATATTAAAATCATACTGTAGAAATAATATGCAGTAAAATCTCTTAATTCTTGAACTGGAGGAGACTAATAATACTATGTTTTTCTGTTCTAACTTTGTTTGACTATGTATAAATAACCCTATCAGTGTGACAATGTTAAATGAGAAATGAGATATTTTTTAAAAACTCTCGCTATAACAATAAATCTCTCTAAAACAGTATTTTTCTTACACTAAATATTGCTATAGAAAGATTTCACTATATACAAATAAAGAAGATTAAAATGGTTAAGGTATCAAAATTAGTCTGTTATGTTAGATTTAACTTTTTTAATACTACTTTGACTAAAAAAGTAAAATTGAATAAAAATACATAATATTTTATCAATCTGGAGTTAATTAATTAATCAATTGATCAAACAAAATGAGTTTTGTGAGTTTTTGGCAATTCATATTAAATACAAAGCAAGCAAAACTTTGTGGTTTAAAAATATTTTTTTCTTTTATTTTGTTAGATATCAAAAATGGAATTTTACTATAAAGTTATCAAGTTTTAATTGAATATTGCTTTCATAAAATTCATAATAAATTATAATAATAATTAAAGGAAACAATGTATATTATATATGTATGTGAGTTTGAGTGAAAACCTTTCAAAGTTCAAATTAGTTTGATAATGTAGTATTTAATGGGGGAAATAGAATTAACAGCAAATTTTTTATTTAGTATTATATTACATAAAATATTAATTATAATTTTTTATAATATTGATAACTGAAATAAATGAAAACTTATTATTAAAATTTCGTACAGGATTTGGAAAACTATATTCTTGAATTAATTCCTACATTATCTCAGGTAATTTACATAATCAATTTTTGAATATCTAGTTTAGATCATTAAATTACATTTTGTTAAATTTATAAAAATAGTGAGAAGTTGTTATTAATAAAAAAGAATATGTAAAACTACAATAATGTAAATTAACTTTTAACTAAGAAAACATGTTTCCACACAGACAATTTTATTGGTCAAAAGGATTCAAAAACAATGGATTCATCAGATTAGCTGCTATCAGTGTGTGAATGTTTGTCATTAATTCAAAATTTACATTGAAAATTATGTCAAATCTATTAAAACAAGGAAAAAGTGAAGAATATTTCACATAAAACAGGCATGACATTACCTCAGCTTCTGAGTTGTCATAGCAACTATTGTCTACTTCTGAAACTTCCTGCCAAAATACTCTATCAAAAGTCTATGGAAAATGAACAACTTTCGTGTGTTTTATGTTTAGTTGGAATGAATTTTCTCACATTTTCTGAATTTTGTATCATCATCACATTGAGCCAATCAAAATGTTTGTTAACTAATAAAAATCAAGAGAGACAATTAACAAACAAAATATAGATTAGTTAAAATTATTGCTGTTATTTTCAATATTAATTTGGCATTATTATTGAAAAGATGTTTCATATTTATNACTGAAATAAATGAAAACTTATTATTAAAATTTCGTACAGGATTTGGAAAACTATATTCTTGAATTAATTCCTACATTATCTCAGGTAATTTACATAATCAATTTTTGAATATCTAGTTTAGATCATTAAATTACATTTTGTTAAATTTATAAAAATAGTGAGAAGTTGTTATTAATAAAAAAGAATATGTAAAACTACAATAATGTAAATTAACTTTTAACTAAGAAAACATGTTTCCACACAGACAATTTTATTGGTCAAAAGGATTCAAAAACAATGGATTCATCAGATTAGCTGCTATCAGTGTGTGAATGTTTGTCATTAATTCAAAATTTACATTGAAAATTATGTCAAATCTATTAAAACAAGGAAAAAGTGAAGAATATTTCACATAAAACAGGCATGACATTACCTCAGCTTCTGAGTTGTCATAGCAACTATTGTCTACTTCTGAAACTTCCTGCCAAAATACTCTATCAAAAGTCTATGGAAAATGAACAACTTTCGTGTGTTTTATGTTTAGTTGGAATGAATTTTCTCACATTTTCTGAATTTTGTATCATCATCACATTGAGCCAATCAAAATGTTTGTTAACTAATAAAAATCAAGAGAGACAATTAACAAACAAAATATAGATTAGTTAAAATTATTGCTGTTATTTTCAATATTAATTTGGCATTATTATTGAAAAGGTGTTTCATATTTATCTGAATATTATAGTGTGCCATCTTATATATCTGAGTTAATATCATATTATTGCAAACTTCTAATTGTAAAACAAGTAATTAAATAATAGAAAGAATTAGAATAATCATAATTTTTTTAAAAATTACAATTTAATATTGCAGAAAATTATATAGTATTATAATGAAATATTTACTTAATAATAATTTTAAAGCTTTTGCTTCAATTTTTATCAAAATAATTATTTTTAGTGGAAATTATACAGAAGAGGTAATAAATTTTGAATCAAAATTCTCAGATATTCTATATGGAAAACCAATTTAATCGGTGAAATTTCTAGATATGATTTGTTATATTTGATAAACCACACACAAAGTGATTGATTCTTGATTTATTTTAGCAATAGATATAATCTAATCTAACATTGAGCAACATTTAATGAGATTATATAATTGATATTGATACTTTATATATGCTTAACTTAAATTTTTTTAAGATGCTTTTTTTAATATCCATATCAAAGCTTAAAATTTAATCATAATTGGATCATTTATATTCTTTAAAGAATATAAATGATACATAATCATACTTGAGAATATTAAGTTATTTATTAATCTAAAATAATGAAGAATTTTTTTTGTATTTGTAGCTTGATGGTTTGGAAAAATCATTTCATTCCTTTTATGTCTGTACTGCTGTAAGAAAATTCTTTTTCTTTCTTGATCCTATGAGAACTGGAAAAATTAAAATTCAAGATATATTAGCATGTAGTTTTTTGGATGATCTTCTTGAGGTAGGTGATTTTATTTTTCAAATTTTGAAACAAAACATACTATCAATAGTTCTAAATTTAAAACTAGTATTTACATTAAAATTATAAAAACTAATAAATAAAATTATAAAATAAATGGTTTATGAGATATATAGGACAAATATACTTTTTAACACATATATAGTAAATTATTTTAATGAAAGGATTATCTCACACATGAAACTATTAATGCCTTATATATCTCCTAAACGGTTTATGAGAGTTTTAATTACATTGCTGACACTTTAAAATTATTAATGTGTCATGAAGCATACAAGAATTCTGTTTATTGTCTTGCTTCATGATTTGGATTTAATAAAAACACAGTAAAATCCTAAGTTAAAAATAATATCATTTGCTGTCTTGATTTATGTTTGTTTAGTTTATTACTTTTCACAATTAAAGACTTTTTTTACCTTTCTACATTTACATCTATAATGGTATAAAGGCATGCATTTTAGCTAGAAAGTTTTCTTTGAATGTATTAAAGGAGTATTCAGTTTTTTAACACTTATGATCAAGTTCTAAAAATCAGTTATAAACAGAGTCTACCTATAAAAAATATTAGAACTATTAGATTGTAAAGGTGAAATTTAGATACTGAAAAAACTTTATTGACAGTTAACTCAATAATGATCACACTTTAGTGTTGTAGGTAGTCACTGGCAATATTAATCACATCTCACCACCTTTGCTGCAAACTTTCAATTTCTTGAGAAGAATGATGGGTTTTTCTTGACTATCAGGTATTGTTGTTGAACTGTATATTGGCAACATTGTTCTGCAGGGTGTGAAATAGGTGGTATTCAGTTGACACCAAGTTTGGGCTGTAAGGTAGTTGAGGCAGCATCTTTTATCCCAGACTGGCCGTCTGGGATAAAAAATGCTAATGTTATCTTTCAACTTCACTAAGATTATTTTTGCTCTATGTGCTGGTGCATTGTCATGGTAGTATCAGACTTTGTAATTTTTGGATGAAAGTTCTTTGATCTTAGTGTTAAAACAATCCAGATGTTCACAATAGAGGTTTTTGTGACCTTGATGATGGTTGGAAGCAGCTCTGTCATGATGATGCCAAACAAATGCATCTGATTGCCTTCTGCACTATTGGCCCTTTAACATTTGCAACAGCTAGTTGAACTTTGTTCACCCACGAATACTTTAACAAATGCTTTACAGACAAGCTCATGAACCTTCATTGCATTGTGGCCATTTTTGAATTCATAAAGCAATAGCATGAGAATGTACTCCTTCAAAAGTGTCATATTGTGATGATCTGAGACTTCCTTTTTCGCAAGAGCAATGTCGCTCTTCTTATAAACCCCCTAATTTAGTATATACCTTCTATGGTCAACGACCAAGATGATCTCCTCGAAATAATTGTTAATAAATAAATAAATAAATAAATAAATAAATAAATATATATATATATCATTAAGAGGAAAAAATCATCATTTGTTTAACAGTCCTGATAGACGATAGAGTCAACAAGACGGGAATAACTGACGTTTCTCATCCCCTCTCTGGCTGCACGTGACACATGGCTGCAATAAGTATACAAAAAAGGAAAAGGAAAACTTAAAACAAGAGGGTAATAAATCTCCTCGTTCATCGTTGAGCACGATGTTTGAAATAAACAATATCGAGATTGTTGACCAATTTGAAGAAATTACTATCAACTAGATGTTAATTGATGGGTGAGAGCTGTCAAATCTATAGAAATTTATATCATAAAATGACATCTTCAAAACATCAAGGTCAATAAATACCGTATTAGCTAGATCCAGCCAGGAACACAACGAACAGGTGTTTGTACAAATCATTAACAGAATGACAGCTCACCCCATGATTTGAGTACAGGTAGCCCTCTGTTTACGCCGCAGTTCCGTTCCTACAAAAGCCGGCGCAAATCGAACCCATATTTACACTGAGGTATAGGGTTAGGTTCCACATAAGTGAAAAATACGCAAATAATTTTGTTTATTATTACAATATAATACAAAGTACAAATAAATTTAATTTTTAAAATGTATTTTATCATAAAATAAAGTTAAATGTTTTTATTAAAAATTTTAGTTTC